TGAGTAACTCAAATAATTCAACTATAGAAAAAAAAAATAAAAAACACCCCTCAAATTTAGGAAAATATTTTCTTTAAAAAAAAAAAAAAAAAAAACCCTCAAATTTAGGAAAATATTTTCTTTAAAAAAAAAAAAAGTCATTTCACTGCAGCACATACACTCAAAAAGTTGTTTTTCTGACAAATGTAGTATGCAGTTAAATGTTTCAACACTGCAATTTCTATAATGGAAACCAATGTGCAGTTTATTCTGGAAGTTTCTTTCTAATTTGAATTTTCTTTTTTTTTTGTTCCGTTCCCAGTTAAAAGTATTTCCTATCCCATTACTCAATTAATCCATGGGATAACCAATAGATTACTCAAACACTAAAGTAATCGATAGCTGCAGTCAGAGTCGAGAAGGACTAGGGCCTTATGGAGTTGTACAGAATCTCACAAAAGTGAGTACACTCCTCACGTTTCTGTAGATATTTGATTAAATCTTATCATGGGACACCACTGAAGATATGAGCTTTGATAGAATGTAAAGTAATCAGTGTACAGCTTGTATAACAGTGTAAATTTGATGTCCCTCAAAATTACTCATCACACAGCCATTAATGTCTTAATTGCTGGCAACAAAAGTGAGTATACCCCTAAGGGAGAATGGCCAAATTGCCCCTATTTAGCCATGTTCCCTCCCCTTTGTCATGTGACTCACTAGCGTTACAAGTTCTGAGGTGTGATTGGGGAGCAGGTTTGTTAAATTTGGTGTTATCATTCTCATACTGGTCGCTAGAAATTCAACATGGCATCTCATAGCACTCATAGCATAGCGTGTATCCTCCAGCTTCACTATGCTAATGTATTTATATTATGCTAACATAGCTGTGTCGCTAGCAATCACATAGCACATCATTATATACCAGTTAGCAAACTTCAGTAACCCTGCAAACGTCACTGCTGTTTAGTTTTCTGTCTTCATTTATGTTGGAAGTGATAACAGAGCTGTATGTTTGAATTTTCTCAAATCTCTCAGTCAGAACATGCTATATCACGTTTAGCAGGAAGCTAGCAAGCTAACTTCCTGTTAACTTCTAATGCCGTTAAATTTCATAAATCCTGTTTTCATGGATGCCTGGATGTTAAACTTAATTGTTA